TTCACCTGTAAGTAGACTTTCAGAAAACTGATCCAAGCTTTCAAAAAAAAAAAAAGAGTTAGCTATGGGATTGAACTAATAGAGCTTTTACCTCTCCAGCTCCTGTTGCACCTAGTCTTTGGACAGGATTTTCAGTTAACAGCCTAAAACAATGTTACCACAATTAGCATGTTGATCTGATCAGATACGGTGAAGGTACAGAAAATGAGATCTTACTTGTTGATCAGATCATATGCTTCATAAGATATCTCATCTGGCACATTAGGCCATGGTATATCTCTGTTGATTATATTTTCAAAAATTTGCTGAAAACCCATGAATAAAAGAAGTGTTAGACAATTAGAATAATGTTTTCTGTTATCTGATGAGCTCAGATTGATAATAATACCTGTGGGGTTTCTGCATTGAAAGGAGGAATACCCACTAGAACCTCAAAGAGAATAACACCCACTGACCACCAATCAGCGGTTTTACCTGTAGTAATAAGCGATAATATAAGTCCATGAACAGATTTCATGATGACATAAATAAATTAAAAAGGCAAATCCCCTTTCTGAAAATACTAACCATGACCCATTCCAAGAAGTATTTCAGGTGCAAGATAATCAGGTGTTCCAACAACTGCATGTTTTTTACGACTATCTTTGTCTTGTGAAGGTTGAGTGTTTCCATCTTCTGCTAAGAACCCACTGTTTCCCAATGATGCATCACCTGATAAGTCATCTGTGCTGTTGATTAGACCAACTTTAGAAAGCCCAAAGTCTGTCAACTGTTTCACAACGTAAACAGGTTTTTGTGAGATCACCAAATCTTAATGCCTAACTCAAATATTTATAATCAGATAAATATTAACCTTGATGTGACCATCCTGATTGATCAACAAATTGTCTGGCTTTAAGTCTCTGTGAATGATATTTACAGAATGCAAATACTCCAATGCAAGCACCTGAAAAAAAAAAAAATCATTTTGATTTTAACTTCCAGCTTCTATAACAAAGTGAAACAAAATTTGAGGCCTTCAAAAAAAAGGTCTTACAACTTCTGCAATATAAATGCGTGCCATGTCTTCATCCAAGCAACCAAGATTTTTCAGCAATGAAAAGAGATCTCCTCCATTCAAATACTCCATGACCAGATAAAGATTTTCACGGCATGTGAAAGAATAGAAAAACCGGACCTGCACAGCTAACAAAAGCATTAGAGAAAGCAAGTGTACAGAAAACTATAAATTTTTCTAACATTACATACCACGAACGGGTTACGAATTGAGATAAGGATGTTACGCTCCGCTAAAATACTCTCAACAGCATTCTTACGGATCATATCAGCCTTCTTTAAAACCTGTACCATTGCGATACGGTAAGAATAGTAAACCTGTAAGAGAGTATATTATATTAGTAACACCAACCTTAATAGCGAACAAATCACCGGTTGCTCTTTTTCTTGCAAGAAACACTCTTCCAAAAGCACCGCGGCTGATTGGTTTTATAATTTCAAAATCTTCTATTGAAGTTCGATCATTAGCTCGTGGATTAAGTGGGCTGGCACGTAAGCTACGCACTGTATCCTCATCTGCTGAGCTTTCTTCATCCGCCATGGCTTTTGATGAGTCTACTTTTTCATCATCTATCTGTCCACAAAGTTCAATGTACTTTTCCCTGTGGTACGTGAAAACAAATATATCAGCTTTAACTGAATTTGCATATTTTTTAACAGCAGTGATGATGATCAGTAAAAAAAACACTTACTGCAATAGCTTCTCTATTCGCCTTCCAAAAGTTTCTACCACAAGAGCATCTGCCTTCCTATCTTGGATGACATACTTTAGCTCATCTAGCTGCTCAATCATGAAATCTAATGAGCTGTATCCACATAGATTTACATTTGCCACAGAGCGAGCAATCTCTAGTAACTTGTTTATCTGTCAACTCAAACCACAAAATACGAAAAAACGATGAGAATATTGAATATTGAGGCATGAAAGTCTACTTCAAGATCAAGACAATGACTTAAAAATGTAAACATTTTACCTGTTGACAATTCTCAAGCTCTGTTATTGTTTTCCGACCACTTAGTAACAAATCTACTTGGCTTTTCCTTGGTGTTGTTGGTGAAGGTGGTGTCAAGCTCCCTGCTGACAACTCCTTTGCTTCATTAGTCATCGATACTTCATTCAAGATCTTCATTTCATCCAAAGACATTATATTCTCTGAACGAGGAACACAATCAAGCATATCCTCTGAACATCTCTGAGAGATTTCATCAACATCTCTTGATGTACACAATTTAGCATTATCAGCAACTCCTCTCGGTGTTCCGCTATTCGGCGTCCAAGACTCCAGAATCTTCTCAAGACTTTCAGCTACTCTTTCAAGTCTTACGTTCACATGTATCCCCTTCAAGTCACATCTATCTGCAATGGTACAGATTCGAGAGTGCTCTTCTACATGTACAACTGGTATTTCAACTTCACAGATACGACAAATCATGGAATTATCGTAAGTCATACATTGATGATCCGCCCAGAAGCCCCACATATCATTCCTCCCTGCTGATGCAGGCTGCCCTGAAGGGCTATGCAAGTTTTCACCGTTCTCATCACCATAAACTTTTGGTTGGATTTTTCCTTCTCCTTTCGCCTTGGGAGTATTATTAGCACTACGGTTCTTCTCAGCAGCAGATGGAAGTTTCTTCCACGACGACATCCGAAAATTACTCGAAGTTGAATCATTACTCTTAGCGGTATTCACTTCATTCCCATCACCTCCACTGTTGGAGTTCTGATCAAGATCTTGCTTCTCGTTAATCTTCTGGATCTCCTTCTCTCTAAGAAGATCCTGTTGTCTCGAAATCGCTACCATTTGTTCAGGATAAACACCGAGATCACTTAACTGATGCATCCCAAGAATGTGTTCTTCAACGTAACCGCTCTCTTTACGAAACTGCACAAGCCTATTGCAGCGTGTAAGGATGAAAAGAAGACGGTTATGAGCCTGCTTGAGTCCTCCCATCGGCAGCTCCTGACGTTTATCATCAAGCTTCTGAACAATACCTTCACATTTCAACCAAAACTCACTCGCTGGCATGGTTGCACATTGCCGAGCCTCCACCAACAGATCCTCAAGACCTGTTCTCAACTCTTTGTTAGATACAGGAGTGCTCTCTAGAGTGGTCACCAAGTATCCAGCAAAAACTCCTAAATCAGCGTCAACATCTTCCTTTTGTCTGTCAAACTTGGTCCTTATCGCCGCCATGATCTCCTATTTAAAAAAAAAAAACAAAAACTTCAATCTCAAGTCATGCAAAATGCACATAAGAGCAAAAAGAGAATAATTACAAACCTCCATGTGACCAACAGCTCGAGACCTCCACACGGGGAAAGGTCTTACTCCTTTGGAGTTGAGTTCATGAGAGAAGCTCTTGATATCATGAGGCTTCTTCTTCCTTCCACTTGTGACACGTAAGATCGCTTGAAATCGTGGTGAATGTGTTTCTTTCGCAAGACCAACATGCGTAGTCTACATTGATCATCAAAAAAGAGTCAACGAACAATCTCATCAAATAAACTTAATCCTTTCTTTTATTCATAAATCACGGCAAGCTCCACGTCATATTTGAGAACAATCATTCACCTCAATCCCTGGATTGGTGTTTACAGGCACACGTAGAGATTTTGATTGCGTCCATTGAACTTTCTTTCCTATACGGAACAAAATTCACCGTCATTAGCATCATCATCGTCTTTTTTCTGAATTTTCAGATATTTGAATAATAATATACCTTCAGGCTGATGAGGTGGAATCGGCCATCTAGCTCGCGCATCGGCGCGAGCCTCAGCAGCTCCAACCCTACGTTTCTCCTGAACCGACGACGATAATCCCAAAGGAGACGGAGCGGGAGATGATTTCGTTCTGATATGATTCAGACCTAACGAAGAAGGAGCGATGATCTCAGGAGAATCGTGGATCGTGGTGGAACCTTCTTCGTCTTCTTCCTTCTCCAAACCGGATTGGCGGGAAGGAATCTCAGGGATCTTCGCCAGGTGTTTCAATTGCGGATCGTGATTGTGCTCAGGCGACTGTTCCGTTGTAGACATCGGCGACATTTAAAACGGATCGAGATAATTTGAATTTAAGTTTTTTTTTTTTTTCAAATTATTAAGAGGATTAATTTGATTTTCATGTTTACATCAAAACGTTTGACACAGAGAGAGAAAGATCAGAGAGATAGAAGGAAAGAGAGAGAGAGAGAGAGACTGAGGTTTTCGCGGGAAGTGTGGGACTCAGTTTTTTCTTTTTAACTAGTTGATGCAAATCCACTCAATGTGTAGAGTCTCTTATATTTATATTGTAATAAAAAAAATTCCTAAATGTAGTTAATTTGATTATAGTGGATTTTGTAGAACATCTAGAATTGTCCATGGTTGTAAAAAAGATTGTGGAAATATTTTAGATAATTTGATTAGATAGTTGTTTTGAATATTCAAGTGGAGATGTTATGTCATATTCGAACAACGTGCGTCCAACAAAATACATGTCTTCCCCAGTTCTTGAAACGCAGATATCACCCAATCTTTATTTTTAAAAATTAGGATTTCGTGATGTTTTCTTCAGGGTTGACAAAAAACACGGTACTAAGATATTTTTTTTGTTAGAACTTGTAGAAAGAGACATTTTATGTTTTAGTTACAACACGTTGATACTGTACTTAATACTATAAAACAGAATTAACAAGTTTATTAAATACTCAATCATGGTTAAACAAAAAATTATCAAGGATGGTGAATATCCGCAAGACTGGGCTGAAAAGAAATTCAGAAGCCAATATAAGTTTTTCTGTCAACGAGTATGATGGGGTAGCCTTTTAGCAAAGCCCATGATACATCAAGTTTAATGTATTGGTCTCACTTGTCCCTAATGTTTGAAGGTTCTTGCCTTCTTAGTGTTCTTGATGTTAGGTACATGCGACGTTCTGGTTCCTCAGTTAGTAATTAATGAGTGCGATAAGATAAGCATAACGTTCCAAGTCTTAGCGCATATTTAACAAAGCACATGAACTTTGAAGAACACGTTGTGTTTAACATAAGAAACAACTCTGTTTTAGAGTACTACATTATTAGTGAGCAGATTAGTGGTCTTTGGTTTCACTTTCATGAACCATCTCCTCAGCATCGTCAAACCTCTGATCATTGATCTGGAGCTGCAGTGTAAGCACACCAAGCGTCAATGAAATTAGCTAAACATAAAGAAACAAACGAATAAATTAAGTAAAAATCAGGTTTTTGATATTACATCGAGCATAGGCTGAGCAAGACCTTCATCTCCAATGGGTAGACCAATTACACTCGTCGGGCTCTGAGATATTTGCCATTCTGCATCTTCTTCCGCTGTAAACACATAGAAAACAATTGCCTTCATACAACCGAGATGAAAACCAAATATTGAGTGTAGTCTCAGCTTATAAAAAAAAAACATTACCTCCTCCACCAACAACCATCTGATCAGCACTAAACACCCAGTTATGTCCACTTTCTTCTTCTTCTTCTGAAAAGGTACAATGAAGTGAGAAAATAAATGGCTGGTGAACATAAAATCGCATTAAAGGTTGCATCTTTATGCTTACCTTCAACTGGTTCTGGATTGAGCTCAGCACATTCGCAGAACACATCAAACAGAGTATCCACTATCAAAACCAAAACAAAAGGTAAATCTGCTTAGCATCAAAGATTCTTGTAACAAGATTCAAATTACCTCTTAAAATCAGTACATCCTAAATGTTGTTAGCTACTTTCAAATCAGCTCTTAAGATCACTACATAAAAAAAAAAAACTCACACTGGGTAGAGTCAGAAGGAACAAGCCTCATCTCTCTGATCTTAGATAAATCCAAAACACCAGTTGATTCTTCTTCTTCATCCTCATCTTCATCATCTTCTTCTTCTTCAACTTCAATCTTCAAAAAAAAAAAAAAATGCAGACATTTTTTTTTTTGATAATCCAGAGGTTCCCCACTTACGTGGAAATGCAGACATTGAACCGTAACAACTAATGGCCACACGTCTCTTATTCTCTAAACTCTAAGCCAAAGCTAACACACAGGTTTTAGAGTACCTGAGTATATAAACAAGGAGATGAATAAGCCTCTGGATCTCTAGAAACCGCGTGAAGCGATATCGATACGAAATCAACGGCGTAGCCTTTCGCCATGTCTACATCACTCAGCCAAATCAATTTCCTGAAAAATGTCTCTACACTATTACAATCTTTCTCTCCTAAAAGATACAATCGAGAAGGAGGATAGATTTGAGTGAATCTTTCAACCTGGAAGTGATGTAGAGAGTTCCGGGAGACTCCACGGAGCGGTTGCCGAGAGCGACGGCGACGGAGGGCTGCACGTGCATAAGCTCCTCGCCGTTTGATTCGTCGAGGACCGGTGACCCGGAGCCATCGACGTTTCTGAGGGAGAACTCTCTTAGACCAACCACCATGTTTTCCGATCACAGAGAGACTTGGCAGAGGGCAGGGTTTTTGTTAGGGTTTCTTTTCTCAGAGAATCTCTCTCATCCCTCTACGTGGCTGATGAAGAACTTTACTGGGCTTTTGGTAAAACGGGCTTTGTTAAAATGGCCCAGAGATTATTTAATGAATAGTAAGAGCTCATTTATTGATTGGGCCTCTTAAGAGCATGTTTATCCGAGGGTGCTTAGAGAGGTGCTTAGGAGGAGAGGATTGCTTAATTTGAAGAGAGAGAGTGTGGAAAGTGCTTAATTAAGCATTTTCCACACTCTCCCTCTTCAAATTAAGCAACCTTCTCCTCTTAAGCACCTCTCTAAGCACCCTTGGATAAACATGCTCTAATATTCTTAATACACTTTGCTTTTTTCTTTTCGTCAAAGGAAAAATTCCATTAAGAGCATCAGCAGTAATGTAATTTCTCAATTCTTAGATATAAAATAATAATATAATTTAACATTTGAACTAAAATTTAACTAAAAAGAATTTAGTTTAATTATGTGGTGATACCTTGCAGAAAAATCTTTCACACTCTTGATAACATCTCTGAAGGAAGAATCGTTTATCTCCCTCTCTCTTACTTTTCTTCCCCTCTCTCTTCTTTTATTAAACTGTTTCATTGAATTAATGCTGAGAGACCTTTCCTCGTACTACCACTAATGCTGCTCTAAAAAGTTCCGGTCAAGCGATTTGGGAAAAAGGCCAACGTTTGAAAAGTGCAAACAAAATAGATAGAAGAACTTAAGAAATAATAGATGACATCAGTAGATGCCTCACAGCGAAACACCTTCAAGAGAAGGAGAGGCTTAACCCATCGAGGAAGTCACAGCGCCTTAGGCTTCTGCTCGAAGAGATGGAGATAACCAGCTCGGCCCACCTTGTGCCAAGTAGGATTGGTAACGCTGATCCTTCATTACACTACAGCAATTCTGATGGCAATTTCATTACCCTCTTTTATGGGTATCCAATAGATGACAATGCTCAAATTTGTGTAAAGCGCAAAGAATCCTTGATGAGACTTGCGTCAAATTGGCAAAGGACCGTGGGTTGTTAGTCCCTTTTCATGCTAAACTCGAAGACACTTTTATGATCACTTGTTTGAAATGCAAGTCATGCAGTGCCTCACAAGTCCATAAGATAGATAATAGCTCTGCTTCTAGGCTCGAACAGACGTGAGAGAAGGCTATTTATGAAACCTTGACAAACCAAAGGAGTCTCTGACAATCCACGCTGCTCCACAATTCTGAGACGCCTCAACCCATGAAGAAGCCACATTGCATTTCAAAAGGCCAGGGGGAGGTTTATGCCATTGAGAATGTTGAGGAGGCTCCAAGCTGGCTGGAAACGCACAGTCCTGATATGGGAGTTGAAGGCTGAACCATGTCGAGGCTTCATTAGAGACTTTGGAGAATATTTCAGCAGCAACGAAACATAGTAAGTTGCGTGCCTTCCATATATGCCACAAAATTCAAGGAAAAATTACTATGGAGAGAGTTTCTTGCTTACTGTCATCAGTTGATAGAAATTAAGCCATACCGAGTTCAATGAGAACCCAAGCGAAGGAAGCGGGAACTCAGACATAGACCAAATCTCCTTATCGAAGTCACAGTGAAACATCACATGACAGATAGTTTCACAGATAGTTTCAGGGCCTGCACCGCATCGAGAACATGTAGTATCCACAAGAAAACCACGGGATCTCAAACCTTGCTTGACAGCCAAGGCACCAGACAAAGCTCTCCACAAAAAATGCTTGATCTTTGGCAGCGTTTTAGTTTTCCATAAATCTCTCCATAGTCTCCTTTCAATCGGGGGAAGACCTGTGGAAGAAGGTGACTGTAGATTTCTGATGGATTCAGCAAGCTTGTAACCACTTTTTGTGTTATACACACCATTCTTAGAGAATCCCCAAACCCTCGTATCAGACGAAAAAGGATTAATCATAGTATTCAAGACGCACTTAATATCATCTTCTGCAACCACCTCTCTAACTCTCTGCACATCCCAACTTCTGGTATGGATATCAATCAAGTTGTTCACAGATAAGTAAGGTCCACCATAGCTTCTTGGCGGTAATTAGGGGGACGTTGAACTTTATCAATAATCCAGTTATCAAGCCAAACTTTCGATCTTTCTCTGTTGCCAATCTTTTGAACCAGACCCTGCGACATTAGTTCTCTCCCGAAGAGGATACTACGCCAAGCATACGAAGGCCTGGAACCCACGCTACACTCCAAAAAGGAAGAGCGAGCAGAGTAGCGATGTTTCAAGACCCTTGAAAGTAGAAATCAGGATGAGACCAAATACGCCATGCTTGCTTAGCCAGCAGAGACTGATTAAACATCTCAATATCGCGGAAACCTAAACCTCCAAGTTCTTTATCTTTGCAGAGTTTCTGCCAAGCCACCCAAGGAATTTTCCTTTTGTTATTACCCGAAATCCACCAAAATTCAGTCATCGCGCTGGTGAGCTTAGAGAAAATGTCTTTAGGGAGTTTAAAACACGACATTGCATAAATAGGAAGGGCTAGACAAACCGATTTGAGTGAGTTTGTTTATGTGTCATGTTTTCGATGATATTATTTTGTTTATATGTCATGTTTTAAATAGTTTTTTGATGATTCATTGATTTATTAATTTCATTCAATACTATTATTAATTCAAACTTTTTAATTAAATATATAATCATATTCTCTATAATTTTAGGTTATTTTGTTTATATATCATGTTTAAGTATTTTTATGTGATTCATTTATATAATAGTTTCAATACTATATCATTAATTTAAAATTTGTAATTAGATATATAGTTATTCTGTTTAATTTTCTAACTTTGACGAGTAGAATATAATTCTAACTAAAACTATGTATATAATATTATGATGCGACTAAATGCTAGTATATATTTTATTATATCATAAAAACAGATTTTATGTTAGTGTATATATTGTGATCATAGGTTTTATCAGAAATTTATGTCCACTTATAATAACTTGCAGCATGTTTTTCTTGTTCTCATTGGGAAAATTTATCCTCTGAGAGATTACGACTAGATAAAATCTAATGTGTTGGAACTAATTTGGAATACATAGAAAAAGTCAAAATCGTTTTAATTGAATTGTTGTTGGTTGATACCGTTTGTAAGCAGAGTATTTTTTTTTCTTTATTGATTTGCATTGATTATATGATTTAGTGTTTGTAATTTATTTTTTCAATTTATTTTTAGATAATAAGGTTTCATGCTTTTGTTTGTTGATGAACATTTTCTTGGTAACTTTCGATTGAAGTTATTTTAAAGTGATTCTTTTGTTTTTAATAATCAACTTCTATATTAAAACAAAACTTATAAACCTTAATGAACAAGATATTAACAATTGATATGTTAAAACGAATTTAGCATAGTTTCTGATATCTTGATTGATATGATATTATATTAAATTTTAGTAGTATAGTTCTAGTAAACAGTAGAAAATTATATATAAGTAGAAAAAATGTTAAAGAAACAGTTTTGAAGAAAAATTGGAGGTCAGAAAATTTTTAGATCCATGTAATTGGTTTTGGAAATAAACTTACTGTTTTAGATCATTTAATTGATTTTTGTGAAATAAATTTGTTACTTAATCACACATTTGATTTCGTGGAAGGCATAAATCCAAACTTTGGAATCATTAGTTCGCAAAAAGTTTTGAGGAACTTTTTGGCAAAAAGGACTCACAAAGAGGCGTTTAGGAATCTTTCAGAAATCGAGATAAGTTACCATTGTTTACGCATAGAGTCAGAATGGTTAAGAGCTGAGCCGATTTTTGGTTTGGTACAGCGGTTGATCAGATGAAAAAGCTCATTTCCGGTTCTTCTTACCCTATAGCGAATATGTACTTTATGGAAGTATGGAAATTCAAAGTTGGTTGGGATCAAACGAGTTCCATGAAGATGAAGTGAGAGTAAGCATATGTGTTGTCTTAGATATATCAAGAATTCTCATTACGCTTTCAGGTCATATATTTTTTCTTCATTTTCGGTTTTCAAATTGTGAATCATTTTTGTTTGGTGAGTCTTAAGTGCAAGTATTGGTCGAAGAATCTCGATCGGTTCTCAGAACGATCAGGAGAAGGTAACCAAGATGATGTATGCGTGACTGGTGTGAAATCCACGATATTGACAATACATCAGGTTTTTGTTTCTTCCTATTTACAGCCTCTTGCCAACACATGATTCTTACACAAAGTTGCAGCATTTACTCAAATCAGTTTCTTCTCTTTACTGAACAGTGATCGGTTTCTTCTCGACAGTGCGATTGACTTGATTAATGAAGATGGATCTCTGGTTCATAGTTTCATGTTTCTCACATTATCAGAAAAATGTACTCATTTTTCTTAAAGTATTTATGTACTATATCTTTTCTGTAGTATTTCTTTTCATGCTACTTGATTCTACGTATAAAAATTACTCTAGATTGTGTTCGCAGAGAACTGATTTGCAAACTATATGCATTTAGAAAATTTAGTTATTATTTCTCATATTTTCTTTTTTTGGTGGCAGTCAAAAGGTACTTTACCATAATGCATATATGTAATTCGGATTGCCTTTATTAAAAAAAAGTAAGGTTGGCCAAGTAAATAACTGAATGAAGCTAATACCTTCAGAAGTTGAAAATGGTAATTTTAGTAACGCAGAAAACTTTGGTAAGGATCCCACACACTACTTAAACCATAGTGTGAGAATGGTTAGCCTCGGTATTTTTAAAACCGGACTGGTAACTGAACCGAAAAAGTTTTGGATCTTGGGTTAATATGGATTGATCTCGTTTAATTAGGTTCAACCAAATTCAGTTTAATGATCATTTGTAATGATATACATATTTTTTAAGAATCAAATCAAATAAAAAATTTCAGTAATCAAAATGCTTTAAAACTTATAAATAACAAACCGAAAATGTAACAAAAAATTATAAAATAATTTAACAGTTCAGATCTAAAATCAATATGAAAAAAACAGATTTAGACTTCATACTCAAAATCTTCATCACTCCAAAATTTCTTTACCTTTAAAATAAATCATGTAGACTAAGTTCTTAACGAAAAATAAAAAAATAAGTATAATGTTTTGTTCTTCTTTTAAAAATTTGGAATTTCATAATATTAATGTTTTAATTATTAAAGTCTTGAACACATGTGATCATGTAATAATACTTAATCAAAGTGAGAAGTAGACAAAAACAATATCTTGACATGAAGATTTTTGTTTGTGAGTCTTCTGATTTGTGAGTTGCAGAGACATCTAAAGAAAAAAAAGAGTTGCGGCATTGCCTTATTAAATTTTTATAAACTCTTTCAAAAAATTTTAATTATTTATTAACAAAATTTTGGTTTACATATGGATCTGAATTTGGCTGATTCATTGGGTCACCGGTTTCTGAGTTTTTAACTGTTTAATATGAATATTTAACCGGTTGAATTTTAACTGGATTTTGCTGTTAACTCAACCCAAACTGATCTCTGGTTCGTGGTTTAACTCGGTCCAACCACCGATCCGGTCCGGGTTTACAATCACTGGTTAGCTTCCAGAAGCCATCATAGAGTAAAAATAACTTATTCAAACAAATAAAGGTTATCAAAATTAATAAATAACAATAAATTCATTCACAACCAAATATTACGTCTAAATTTATCAACAACAACATTATGCAAACCAAAAAACGAAAAATTGAATTACAATTACATAGCAAATTACTAAAAAAAATAAAGAAACATTATGCGGATAGCACGGACAAACCACTAATTCTGATATATATTAGATGTATATGTTACTTCAAGTTTTATATATATTGAGAAATTTATTAAAATTATCTGTCATGGAGAAGAAATATATATGTACATGCTTGTGTGAAACTGTCATTTTCTTGTAGAGTGATGATGGATAAGGGAGAGGGGGTGGTCAAAGGATAAGGGGAAGGTCATGGGTCGTTCGTGATCGGTTGTTGTCTTGCACATTGTGACAGTGCATGCATTTATGAAGGGTTCATTTTCAATGTATAGTGACCCCCTAACTCAAAATAATATCTTTTTTTTTTAAATAACAGTTTACGAAATGTTTAATTCAAAGAAGAAAAATCTTGAATGCCTCTTATTTTCGTGTACATGCCTTATTAATATCCATAACTTACAAAATGTAGATTGATGAGAATTGTAAACCCTATATCTTAAAAACATACTATCCTTTAAACTTTGAGCATATGTTTGAATCAACTGAAATGAGAAACAAAAGGATCAGACCAATAAAAATAAACACAACCTAATTATATATATGTACACACTAATACACATACAGATATAGTAAGTCGTAACATCTACGTACATCTAATTTGAAGACACTGTACAAGAAAGATATAACTTGCATATGTATAATTTTCTTACTTTCTTTTTGCCTCAAAAATACATTTTTCTTGATATTATAATTTTATTGTTTTAGCCTCAGATGCCATCTATTCTCGTGCATGTGCATCTTTGAATAGTTTATTTGCTAAACATCCAAAATTTGAAGAATCACAATGTATGTGCATATGCTCACGAAAAGACAAAAGTAAAGTCCAAAATGAAAGAAATTAAAAACGAAACACTTCTCTTCATATTCACACTTACAAAAAGAAAAAAAGTCATTCTATTCATACAAACATACACTCCAATACTAATCAAAACTCTTTTTTAATTACTTATAGAAAATAACTAATCTTCTTACTACTCTCACTCGTCTGAACCATCACAGAGGTGATTTTTGCTCTAAAATAACCAATAATATACATAAGATATAAATTAAGCTCCAATAATGGCTTCTCCTCGTGGAGCCCTAACTCTAAACACATGCTCCTCTCCTGTGCACTTATCAACTTTCACCACCCAATGACTCTTTCTCACATGCTCATGTTGATGATGATGATCATTGTTCTTATTCATCATCTTCTGGTTGTGACTACCAGTATCGTTGACTCTCGTCACCAGCAACCCTTCACCTATAGGCAAAAACTGCGTTCTCCTCCCATCGCTAAACCTCCATGATCCTCTCGAAAACGCGTTATAGCCCACCACAACCGCCACACCGCTCCCACCTCCGGTTCTTGCGTTTTCTTCATGGTGATTAACGATCTTTCTAACAATGTCTTGGTGGTTCTCGAGGTTACAATCGACTAGAACGAAATCGGCTTCTCCGAAATGATTATTTATTAGAGTGTTGCCGTTAGATTCTCCTACTGCGAATTGTATCTGATGAATCTCTGATGGTTCCAACATTTTCTTGGATATGATTAGTTCTTCAATGCCACGTAAAATGCATACCACTTGACCACGCGTTTGACTAGCCGCAGCAATTAGGGCAACGAGTATGTCAGCGTTTGCTGCACCGGCACAAGCCACGACGATCTTTCTTGCGTTATTTCCGGCGGCTAGAGCCGATATGAACTCAGCCACGTTTGGTTCTTTTGTTCTTTGATCCTGCAAAATGAATATATACATTTGTGATCATTTATTCAAGAAAAGTAGATAATAGTTATCTTTATAGCATCGATCAATATCATATTTTTCAAAACCAATTAATCAAATGAATCATAAGATATCTTATAATTTATTTGAATACATAGAAAGAAATAAATTCTTACCATTTTCAAAGTAGTAAGGTAGGCTTTAGTAGCATTTTCAGCAGACCAAAAAGCCATTTTGTTTTTGTTGATTTGAGAATCTTAGAAAAAAGATCGGAGTTCTCACAGTCTCTTGCTTAGAAAATTTTATAGTGGTTGATGATGGTTTTTGGTTTTAGGGGTGAAAGGTATGTATTTATAAATGAGGAGACATGTGAAAGGGACAAGATTCAAACAGGCGGGTCCAGTTTAATGAATATTTTCTCTTGATAAATATATGGAGAAGATAAACTAATTTTTGTCAAGTTGTAATAGTATTCACTATTCGACATGCGTGTATGCAATATATGGTTTGGTATATATATGATATACATATGTATATGTGTATATTAAAAAAGCATATTGTCTCAGTGTCGAGGGACTAGTCAGCTATTGTCATTGTTAATGTTCCTTCTCCTTATGATCTCTAAATTGAATTAGACAATGTTCAAGGGTTGTTATTAATGGCTAGAATATGTTCAATATGGTATATATATGAAATTTAATACCCGCTTTAGCAATGTGCCTCCCATAACAAGAATTATTTTGATTGGCAAAATATGCGTGAAGGAAAAAGAAACCACATGTATTGTACTAATGATTTTGCAGATTTTGTTGTTACATATATCTTACAGGAATACATAGTTTATAGTAACCATTTACACGGAAACATTTGGAACTTAAACAGATACAAACAAGAATGCTCTAGAAGGCATTCTTGGCTTAAATGCAGGTCATTGTAGTCTGGATGTTCGAACATGTATACATGCATGCATCTTTAGAAATACAAACATAAATATTATATAATTTTATTTAATTTATATGTATAGATACTTTCAACGCCTATTATCCAATGAGAAGATAATTAACTGGCTAATTAGAAGAAGAAAAAAAACAGAGTTTGAATTATAAGAATCAATGAGCTGTAATGTCTAGTGCAGCAGGGGCAATGGACATCTCAATGAAATTAAATATATATATATATATAGAATAAATCGTTTTTAAAATATAGTGCAACAAAGAAGTGAATTAGGAACGATACACATCGTAGGACATTGAGTCATTGAGAACATGGGTCCATGTTTATTCTGACAACAGGCCTGCAGATTTTTCTTACAAGATTAGATTCTTGATCTCATAAAATTAAGTAATTAGAACGTACAATTTAGAATAATCGATATATACGTATGTATAGACTTAGTTCTTGATTGTACAATCTAGTGACCGTCCTCTCTCGTACGGGTTTCCATGAAGCTTCATTTACACTTTATCTAACTATGCATTAATCATTGTACTAACCAAGACAAAGAAATACTCCCTCTGGTTTTAAATAAGTGTCATTTTGACTCTTTGCACATAAATTAAGAAAATTGTATAATAGACTAATATATCATTATTTAATGTATGTTTAATTAAATGAAAATAATTTAAGTAAAATACTATTGGTTATTCAAAAGTGTAAAAAATAGATTTAATGTACAAAATTACATTGGGATTGTAGAATGACACTTTTTTGAAACAAAATTAAAAGGCTAAAGTGACACTTATTTAGAAACAAATGGAGTAATTGGTAAGCTATATCTAATGCTGAAACATATTATTACATGTATCTATATAATATCATATAAATATCAAATCTATATTATAATGATTGAGTTTAAAGGCTCCTTAAGGTGTCCACATAGGCAGATTGTGGGTCCCACATTTTTATATTAAAATATATAATTTTTTTAAAATAGCTACAAACAAGAATATTAGTTTAGCCAAGTGGTCTAAGACCCCATGTTTGGTCTCCAAGGACATGGGTTCAATTCCCCCTGCTCTCATGCATAAACCAATTAATGTCATCATCATAAAAATATTTTTTAAATAAACATAGTCTTCGTAAGATGGTAACAAACAATGAAATACACTTTAGCCAAGTGGTATAAGGTGTTTAATTAAGTATATAAGATTGTGGGTTCAAACCACGCAGCTATCATATTTTTGATTTTTTTTAATTTAGGTTATTATCATATGGACTTTTTGTTTATAAGGTTCTTATGTTTTTTTGGGCTTATTATTTTAAATATCAAAATAGTTGTATAAACCCTAAACCTTAATAAGTTCAAACCCAAAATAATTAAAAAATAATCCAAAACGAATAATAAAACAAAAAACAAAAAAAACAAGTCTCACGTGGTTGCCTACGCGGATGGCTTAAAGAACCTTAAAACTATTATCCTATTATAATATAGCTCAACCCAAAAATAATAAAAAATAAATCCAAAACGAACAGACAAAAAAAAAAAGAAAAAAAGTGAATTCCACGCAGGTGCATACGTGGATGGCTTAATGAGGGTTGAATAATATAGATTAGGAGCTCAAAAAGTTAAATCATTGCATATATTTCCTAATATATATTTTCAAAAAATTTGTAGGTGAGATAAAATAAAATAAAACAACAAAAATTAATTATTTTCGTTATTATTAAATGAATATATAATTTCTCTTACATTTTAATAATTACTATAATTTCCTTGAAAACATTCCTCACCACTGATTCCAGACTCCGGCGAATGGATTCCCACAGTCGATGACGCCGTATATAAAAATGCCACATCATTTATGAACAAAACTCAAACTTACAAAAAACCATATATAAAAGCCTATCTAATGAAACTTAAACAACGAATATTAACTTAATTAAGGTTATTTTCAAATTGATAAATCGTTTAATACAAATATAAATACTATAAATATAGAATTATATCAAGTTTTGATCTACGATATAAAAACTATTTACA